AAGCTTTCCTCGCGTGAACTAATATAAAAAGCATTCTATGCATTAATCTAGGAAATTAGTCCATCTGTCAAATCCATTCAGCCGTTCAGGCGTGATTAAGTAATAAATATCGAAACATTTTTATCATAGGTTGTGTGAAGATACTATCTTTACGAATTTTTACATTATTCGTGTATTTTTTTGGTCTGAAATATGTACTCGTAAATGTAAATTTGACTCTCAATTACTTATCTTATTTGGACCGTTGTACGTGTGATTGGACTGTAATAAAGAATATAATTTATGAAATTAATTGCAATTCATATATTACAAAATTATATATATATATATATATATATATATATAGGCGACATAAAAAAAAGGTGATATAAAAAAAATTCTTTAATAAGTTATAGACTATGATACTATATCCTATATAATCTATAAATATAAAAATAAATAAACAAATTGAATCTATAATTATTAAATTATATTAAATTCATTATTTAAGTATATTTTGATACACAATATATTGACCGTTGTTTATATATTCTGGTACAGTACAATAAATACATCTTAGTCCTCAGGAATGGCAACGCAAGAAGGGTATAATGGGTGACACAGTATACTCTAACGCGACGGTTACCACTTTCCATCAGGAAGGCCTTTAGTTTGTTTGTCATTCTAAGTTGCATAAAAAAATATCTATAAACTATCAGGTAAGCCTCTTTGTAAAAGGAACCAAAAAATTTAGCGCATCCGTTGCCGGTGCGGTCGCGTGGGGGCGATAAAGTATGATAGATGTTACACCTCACCCCTCAACAGCTAGGTGCTCGACCTAAAAAGCGAAATGGTAGTACTAGACGAACTTAACTGCTCCCTAGATTGTTGCCTGTCACCTTATTCTGGAAATATGATAAATATTTATGGGTAACAATCTCACCTTCTTAAACAATATAAACAGAGACTGTATTATATGTTATTTTAATGTACGCAAACTCTAATATAAGGGTTCTTCTTTGAGAATCAGTGGGAAGAAAATCAGTTAAATCGATTAACAAATCCAGAAAAAATTAACTATTAGCCTGATAAAAAAGAAGATAAATCAACGAAATGCTCCGTTTTTTAAATTAGCAGTAAATAAGCCCTTAGCATTATAAATTGCGAGTATGAACAAAATATAAGTATCTATTTATGCAATGACTTTCTGTATTTTTGTATTTACAAAACTGGTGTTAGAGTAGAAAATACTATTCTTTTTTTATATTATTGTAAGGGCTTTTTTACCTCCTTCAAGTATATCAGCCCTGTCGTACCCTGACCTGATTTCTCAAATAAAGTTTTATCTACTGTCCCTATTCACGGTAAGGAATTAATAATTTATGTAATGTAAATGATAAGGTTAAGAATTCTATTACTGGATTTTTTGTGAACATATTTACATATAAGTTGGTACTTACATATATATAAATATGTTCTTAATTTTAATACGCATTTACAAATATACCCACTTAGTTTTAAATCATTCTAAAAAACTAGTGCCTACTTGATATATTGTTACAATTACAGATAGTACAACAATTAAACACATTTACTTAAAAGGACCAACAGCTATGCAATGTATACTATCAGGTCAACCTCCACAAGATTATTTTCTTAAAAACCCGTTTTATTCCTGACGAATCTATCCCGATGGGCAAACTACGATAATATCGTTCTCACATATAATCACTCACTGGTAGTGCAGGTGAAGATTACCATTTCATTTTCATTGTTATAAAAAAAAAAAACCGTAATTGTGAATATAAATAGTTAACAACAACTTTCCGGCCTGAGCTATGACTATCTTTTGTCTATTTAAAAATATTAAGTAAATTTCAAACATAAACACAAAACTCGTTTCAAACTATTAGAATAAGACTGCAGGCTGCACACGTATCATTTGTTCAGTACGAGGGTAACGTTCTACGCTTTTTGCTTCGCCATATTTCTCAAAGAAGTTTTAACGGTTCTAACACACCGACGTCGATGAAAATAAATCCCAACAATTTGATCAAATATACAGATATTAATTTGCTTTAAACATGAATCGAATTCACAAACGAAATCAATTAAATCCTTATATTATTAAAGGGAAAATAAGTTTGTTTGGATTATTAAAACAAGTTTTTTTTTCTTTTATTTCTTTCTGAACCTGTTGATATATTAATCAAAAATTGTGCTATTTGGTACAAAAAGTAAAATGAATAAAATTGTCGAGCAAGATCCACAAATCTCCTTGAGTGGAAATCGTTCGGAATTTGTATCTCAAACTCGCAACTTAGGTGTTCTTATGGACCAAAGGCTACATTTTGAAGAGCATCTAATACAAGTTATGAGCAACTGCTTTTATAGACTCAGTGTCTATAAAAGCACATATCGCATCCGTGAATATTTGAGTGTCAATATGGGAGTTTAAAAATGCGAATCAATCATACTATCAAAGCTTAATTATGCTGATATTGGTTTTGGAGCATAGACATTAACCCGTACAAAAAAAATAATGTTGGGCATATTCAAGTTTCCTTTTTGTTTTCTCATTCCTAGGCATTCACATATTACTGTTTTAAATTGTAATAAAAAGTTAATAATAACCACATGACGAAGACTGCATTTGGCTTCATTGCTTTTGGGAATCATACAAAAAAAGAGCCAATGCATCTATTTAATAAATTGCAATTTACTCAGTGAAAATTAAGAACCGCACTATGCATCTTCTTTCCGCAATACAATATAGCTTCATTTCATGGTAGCTTTTACTATGCTGCCACGAAATGTTGAAATAATCTTCCACCTCTAGTTAGAAACTCAAAATCTGTTGCCTCGTTTAAACAAAAAAATATATTTCTGCTTATATGAATCACTTATATTTATTATATTTCTGCTAGAAAACCAAATTTCCGATACATAATCAGCCGTACTCTCTATATACTTTATCCTTCTCCAATATATATGCTCATACATACATTTATACATATATTTGCCAAGCGTCGTCTAGGTACCAGTTCCATTGGTTCCAAAGAAAATCAGCATTTAGACGTTATATTTGAATGCCTAGAGACTTAGCTGAGTGGCGGCCATTTTGGTCGCATAATTCCTAATTAGGTATATGTTTATTTTTGTACTTTCTTTAAGTTTATAAGTGTTTTTTTTTTTTTGTAATTGTTACAATGTAATAAATATGTTACATACATATTTGTAATAATGTAAAAAAAAAATAATAAATGGTGATATGCGCCAAATAAATATTTTTCTTTGTTTCTTTTACACGAGACCTCGTCTGTATCACCTGGATCTGTTTACTGACCAGGATAAAAAATAACCTATATCTTTCTCCATCATTATCGACATTATTTACTATCATTAAGCAATATTATATGATATCGTGTAAACCAAATTTCATAGTAATTGGTTAATTTACTAAATCATTCAATATTAGTAAAAATATGAAATTTATATTCCTACAATTATAATGATAGAAAAAAATTGTAAACGGGCGGAAATAAAACGTGCAATTTTTATACTATGCTGGGGCCAGTGATCCTACAAACTAAGTAAACCTACTAAAACAAAATCATCCAGGTTCAACAATCATAGTATAGATGGATAAAAGACAAAAAAAGAAACAACAAATAAAGGCCTCCTATTTGTTCTTTTGCAACTGCCTTGCAATATGCTAAGTGGTGTACCTACTTGTGTATACAGTACTGCATAGTCTCTATCAACAGAAGTCAGTAGATATATCTCAACGGTGGCCATTGTTATAATGTTTTTCTGAAACCCATTCAAATATGGGTTTCAGAAATTCAGTGCATGGGTTTCAGATGTTTTTACTTATCATAATTACATTATCTGCCTCTTATTTTAGCATTGAATGAAATATTTTCCACTATTTTATCCTTATTGATATTTCTAAAGTAAACATGTATTTAAATTAAGTTGAGCGAAAAAATATCATTTTTAAATATGATAATGTGTTATTAAATCATTCGTATTTGAAAAATATCAGGCAAGCGTGGCAACTACTGGTAAAACCCCTCTTATAGGGGAGTTTAGGACTCCCCTATAAGAAGGGTTCATAAGTTAAAGGCTGACATCATCATCATTATCACGTCAGCCGCCGTACTGTCCATTGCTGAATATAGGTCTACCCCAAAAGTGGGTCTTACCAGTAGTTGCCACGCTAGGCAGGCGGATTGGCAACCACAGTTAGGCTTTGGTGATGTTTCAAGAGAGAAGCTGCTGCCCTCTACCATTGTTCCTTTAGTGGCTTCTTACAGCACCCGCGGGAAAGAAACGGGTGGCTTATTCTATGCCGGGACCATACGGCAGACGTATAACAATAATGTGACGGCGGATATAATATTAATAATTTGAAAAATGGAATGCATTATTGTACATGATATATGTAGGTTTTTTTTTACCACTTACTAACATTCAACATGGAACAAAATTAAATAAAGCCCTTATCGTGAGCCTGAATCAATATCCAGGAGAAATCAAAAAGGTTCCCTAAACGGGGATAAAGAGGCGCAATCAGTGTTATCGAATAGACGGCCGGAGTCTACTGCAGCCCTCAGTTCCTTGAACCCGTACTTATCGACCCTAAACTTGAACTATAACCTTTCACCACCCCCCCATGAATTTTCCATCACTTCTATTCAATTTGGTATTATTATTTCAAAATACCTCTCTTCTATTACTGATCCAATATAATCTAATGAGATTGAGATGTGGGCGGATCTATTAATAGACTCTTATTATAAATCATATTTGTGTTCTTGGTAAATATTAAATATAGCAATAAGCTGAGCGCCAACCGCCTACCATCGATTGGGCACAAACAAATGTCCAAATGCTTAGCTTTTCTATGTAGACATAATAAAGACAATCGTTCACTTTATTAATTCAAATAGTTAATAATAATAGCTAAAAATAATAATCATCATCAAAATTTTTATTATATTACAAAAAGTCATCAATAAAAATAAATACGGAAACATTCGTATAAAAATATTTTGTTATGTATGGAAACTAAAAATACTCCAACACGTGGTCACGAGCTGAAAATATCTTTGACTCGATGATATATTTGTTTCATACTAATTCCCTACAACTGTTAATGATATCAACTATTACTTTATAGATTGATCCATTAAATATAAAATCACACTGTCATGTCGTAAAGAGCTCGCCACAAATCATGGCCATTTCAGGCCAGGTATTCAGAAAATGGCGTCATCCATCGACTAAAGGTTTTACAATCGACAGATAGAAAGGTTAGGTCGCGACAACGGCGTCGGCGGCAGAAGCGATAGAGGGACAAACGGGGGTCGCCAGTCGCCACTAGGCACGCCTCCCTCTGACCTTTAAAAACATCTCCCGCGGGAAAACGTAATCGCGCCGCATTACCACGCGGCGATATATCCCTGAAACGGTCTCATAACATCGAAGCGCTCTCGGTTCCACTCGAATGCGGATTAGCGCTTATTGCGAGCGCACCTGTCTAGGTGGGCGAAGCGAGGCGCGCACTGCTGCAAGCAGCCGGCGCGACGGCGCGTCCACTCTGCGCATGCGTACTGGCCGCTATTAAAAAATGAATTCCTGGTTCCCGCACTGTGAGCCGTACGTTCACCGACGCCGCCGCGTTTCGCTCGCTATTTTTGCGCGGTGAGGCCGGGACCGCGCCCGAGATCGCGTAGCGTCGAGAGTGCCAGGGTGTGGTCGTGTGAGAGTGCAGTGCGTACGAGTGGCCGTCTCATGCGGTGAGGGCGCCTCGCCACCGGCAGCGCCAGGAGCGCCGGGCGGTGATGCGCTCGGCGGGCTGCTAGCGGCCGCGGCATGGCGCGCCGCGCCGCCCGCGCCCGCGCCCGCCTCATCACTAACACACCATGAGTGACTTGCAGGCTACCTTCGAGTTCTCCGTGGAACTGTACAAGTTCTACAATGTCGACCTCTTCCAGAGAGGGTGAGCTATATTTCCGATGCTGTCGATGTAGACACTTGACAAATGTTTATCTAATCAGCAAGCTTATCAATCACTCTATGTTATGATGATCTCTATGTTATATTAGATCATGTATCGCAGTTACTCGTTACGAAAGGTAATGTTATGATACAATAAACTGAATATTTTACATAGACTTTAGCTACTGATAGAATAAATACATCTGCTAGACACCTAAGTAGATAGAGCTAATAGCTGCGCCACCACCAAAATATTCATGAATCTGAACTCAATTTGCTTTTACAAGATTTTATTTCTGTGATTTTACGTAATCCTATGTACACGCCAGAAGATGCTACTACACGGTATTTAGTTTGCTTGAATATTCACGTCCATGGTTCGCTTCTAGACTATCTCATATAATTCAGTACCCAACTAAACTCAGACATTTTTGGCTTAACATATTTGTGATAAGACAACAGATACAATTAATCAATAAGTATAAATTGTTTTCATAGAAGAAGAAGAAAATATGTCTGTACAAAACAGATAATGTATTACAGACTTGTTAAACGAGTTTACAACACAAATAGTAGTCACAATGAGAACAAACTTCCAGAATATCAGATTGCGTGAATCCAACGCAGATATTAACTTGGACATCGAGTTGTCACAACTAGTTACAATTACCTACGTATTGGAGATCTCTTGGGAAAAACTTTAGTTATGGAAACGCAATGGTAGCCTCTTAATTTAATTGGTATAGTTACTTTGGTAACGTGAACTATGAAACTAGACGAGACATTATATTTTCAGGGGACTAATCGGATGAGAGTTTCATTTTATATGGATTAAAGTAATATCTCAAATATAAATCTATATCAGACTTCACAATACTTATTATGTATAAACAAAATTCTTACAGGAATAAAGTATATTCAGTCATTTATTTACTTTTACAGCCGTTAATTATCTACTGCTAAACACGAGGGCTCTTAATAGACTTCCGTAACAAATAGTCCTGCATGCATTGGCTCTCTTCATCACATTTGTGACCGGTATCCATCTAGTGATCACCCATCAGATGAAGTGGCAATATCAAAGGTACCAGAGGGAGACTTTGTACTAAAGTCGTTAACCTCTGTCCCATTCGTGTTTCTACCGTGAAGCAGTTGTGTTTGCATGACTGTGTTTCGGTTTGAAGTGTGGATTACAGCAGTGAATTTACTGGGTACAGAGGAATAACACCTGAGTCCTCAGGAATGGCAACGCATGGGGGGTATCATGGGCGAAACAGTATACTCTGTTATGTCCATGGCACTGCTCATGTCTATAAGCGACGGTTACCGCTTTCCATCAGGTGGACCGTGGGCTTGTTTGCCATTCTAAGTTGCATAAAAAAATTGTTTTCACTAATCTACAATATGGCGCGACGATTTATATTACACTAGCTGTATCTCGCAATTTCGCCCGTGGCGGTGTTGTTAAAAATAACTTCCTTAAGAAATAAGCTACTAAATGTAAAAATGAATTTTTAAACTGGTAGTTCCAGAGATTAGCGCGTTCAATCAAACAAACTCTTCCACATTAATATATTACTAGTAACCCGCCCCGGCTTCGCACGGGTGCAATGCTGATGCTAAATAGCGCCGCCGGTCCCCCATTACATTACGACACTACATTAGAAACCTCTAAAATTATCAATGTTCCTCTACTATATTATACATATATTATACATATAAAACTTCCTCTTGAATCACCCTATCTATTAAAAAACCGCTACAAAGTCCGTTGTGTTAAAGATTTAAGCATACATAGGGACAGACAGACAGCGACTTTGTTTTAAACTATGTACTCGTAGTGATTAGATTTCTGTGCGAGGTGACTACCACGCAATGTTTCTTACCAATCAGCTGTCGGTTCTTCGACTTATAAGGTCGACAGATTATGAGTGTCAATTTGCTTATTCTTCGATTATATCACTGGGACATTATCAAAAAGCAAGAAATAGATGTAGAAGCAGAAGAAATTTTAACTCACTACGTTTTTTTAATGGGCGAAAATACGTTGGCGGGGTACCAGTAAGAGATGATAGGTGAGGATGAAAAGGCAGGTCAGTTAGCCCATTGTGATGAATTCAACGATAAATTAGTCACGATAGTTTCTAAGAGGAATCGCGCGGAGGTCGATCTGACAGGGTATATTGATAGCAATGGGGACTAACCTCCCCATTACATATACTGCGTTGCCTAATCGAGTTAATTTCATCCACTCTAAATCGTAGTTGGACTTGACTTAATACTGTTCCCTGCTTTTCTCGGGGATATCTTGAAAAATAGTATTCCCCAGCATAATCTATAAAAAGTAACAGAAACTTTAGATTTCGTCATATTCATATTCATCTGACAAATATTAAGTATTGATATCCTCCATGGATTGTACCATACATACTATATCTTAGGCAAACCGAAAAAAAATTGTAAAGTTTTTTTATGCAACTTAGAATGGCAAACAAGCTGACGGCCCACCTGATTGAAAGTAGTAATCGTCGCCTATAGACATGAGCAGTATCGTGGACATAACAGAAAATACTGTTTTGCCCATGATACCCCCATGCATTGCCATTTCTGAGGACTTGAGTGTTATTTCTCTACCTGTAAATTCACTGCCATATCCCACCTTTCAAACCGAAACACTGTCATGCAAATGACAATGTATAAGGGGCACCATAAATATCATAGTATATTCTGTGATGTCTATGGCCAGCAGTTATCACTTTCTATCAGAACGGATGTCAGTAACACTACGAACACTGCGAACTTCATCCTTTTTTGAAGTCAGTTTATAACTATTGACGCAAAACTAATACTATTAAAAATATATGCGATTTTACATTATTTAGAACAGGCAACGACTGTTTGTTGATTACAAAACATTCCAGTACATTTCCACTAGTATATCGTGCCAATGCTACATTATTCAGATGACGGCCTGGGGCTTGTGGATTGTTTGAGTTTACGAGCCCCAGTGGCAACTATACTATTTCTTTAACGAAATAAAAAGAGCCATAAAAATAAATGACATATCTGCCCTTGTCGTGCCCAGAAGACAAAACTTACGTCTTCAAAAAACGCAAGGTCAAATATAAACAAAAAATTCATTAATATATAAAATCAGTTATTGAAAAAATCTATAAACCATAGTAAACAAATTAGTTTTAGAATTTGTATAAAAAAAAGCATAGTGAAAAACGACTCCTCCTTACATTAAATACACTGATATTTCTTATGTGATATATTTTATAAAAATTATCCGATCTTATCCTCACTCTTATCCATTTAATAGCTTGTCGTATTAATAAAGTGGCTTACAAACTTGTTAGAAGTTATTTTTTTTTTTTTTTTTTTTTTTTTATAAAACTTAAAATGGCAAACAAGCTGACGGCCCACCTGATGGAAAGTGGTAACTTATAGACATGAGCAGTACCATGGACATAACAGAGTATACTGTTTCGCCCATGATTTAGGACTCAGGTGTTATTCCTCTGTACCCAGTAAATTCAATATCCCACCCTTCAAACCGAAACACAGCCATGCAAACACAACTGCTTCACGGTTGAAACACGAATGGGACAGAGGTACCCAAGCAATCGACTTTTGTACAAAGTCTCCCTCTGGTAAATGATAATTATCCTAATGATGTATGACCAGTTCCAGTTGAGAACATAGTAGTGTAACCCCCTGTAGATTTTGAGTGACGTTAATTGACACGGGCTTGGATTCAACGTTCTGTTTAATTGCTTAGTATCACCTGCCTAGTGAAAAGTAAGCGAAGGATATCCATTAATTGGCTGTCTTTATAAGATTTATTGTGTTTGGACTTCTTTACTCCATATAGCTTCGTTGACAAGGCAATTTACTTTCTTTACGTTCATCCGGAACTGATCAACAAACAATTTATCTAATTTGATACAATTTTGTATATTTATACTTAGTATAATTTGATACACCATCAATAGCTATGAAATTGATATAATAATTCCTACAAGTATAATACATATAATATAACAAATTATATATAACATATCATCATATCAGCCTTTAACTGTCCACTATTGAACATAAGTCTCCTCTTGGAGGTTTTACTAATAGTTGCCACGCTTGGCATGCTGATTAGCAACCGCAGTTAAGCTTTGGAGACGTTTTAAGAGGGCTATTTATCGCTGCTGTCCATCCCTCGTCCTACTTAGTCGATTCTTACAACACCCACAGGAAAGGAAGGGGTGGCCTATTCTATGCCGGGACCACACGGGATTTTAAAAAGATAGCACATCTGATTTTTTATTGAAAAACTAAATTATAGGTATAAAATACAGTATAGAATTATTATCATCAAATGTTATATTAGGAATATATCAATAATTGTGTTTATATTAATACGTATTAAGGTAATTCAGATATAATAAAGAAACTCTAATGAGTTTAGTATATTCACAAATTATATCTCTCGTTATTTCGAATTATTGAAGAGTTAAATCTTGTAAAGTACAAAATTATTTATTTCTTAACTTATATAAAAATACTTTTTATATAGTCCATTAACTGTCAAAGTGTCGATTATTTTTACTTCATGTTCAATATTAACGTCGATGCGAGGTCACGGCTAAACAACTCTATATTTAACTAATTTGTGTATGAACCAATATTTACACAATTTATTTAAGTGCCTGATACACGCGCCACGTTACTTGTTTATAGTACGTTTGTGGAACACTTTAAGCTACCTATGATTTTAAAATGATCATCATATCAGGCGTTAAATGTCCACTGCTGATTATAGGCCTCCCCCATAATGAGAGGTTTTGTCAGTAGTTGACACCTTTGGCAGGCGTATTAACAACCGCAGTTAGCCTTTGATGATATTTTAAAATACGCTGCTGTTCATCCATTGACTATTAAGTTCCCTTAGCCGCCTCTCACAACACTTACGGGAAAAGAAGTGATGATCTATTCTATGCTGGG